CAGTGGAAAGCTGCCAGACACGGTGGCGCACGCCTGTAGCCCCAGCATTTAAGAGGCTTGGACAGGAGGACTGCTGCAAGTTCGAAGCCAGCCTGGGCTACAAAGTGAGCTCAAGACCAGCCTGAACTGCACAGCAAGACCAAATCTCAAAAAGAATTTTAAAATTGCATTATCCAATTATAAGATTTTTTTTTAAATCTACCGAAAGCTTAAAAGATAGAGAGCAGACTCAGGGTTGCCAGGGCCAGGGGCTGGGGTAGAATCTGACAAAGGGGTGCAGGAGGGAGTAAGGCTCTGTATCCTGACTGGCCTGCAAGCCATCAAAATGCACACCAAAGAATACACTTCACTGTGTGATAATTTTAAAAATACGGATTTTTCAGGTATACCAATTCCCCCAAGACAAATGTAAACACTGTGTATCACAAACATATACAAATAAAAAAAAACTTTAAAGGCTTAAAAGACACACGTTAAACCTCCTGGGACAGGAATAGGATGGTGCTGGGGACAAGTGACTGAAAAGCAGTCAAGTATGGTAACACACACCATCTTCCCAGCACTCAGGAGGCTGAGGCAGGAGAATTCCACCAATTCAAGACCAGCCTGGGCTACATAGCAAGACTCTGCCTCAAAAAAACACAAAAGGAACTTTTGAGTTTTTTTAAAATCCATGCTTCTTTCTGTTTATACATATATGGTAAAACCTTGGATAGCAAGTAACTTGTTCATGAATATTCTCCAAGATGAACAAACATTTCTAATGAATTTTAACTTATAAATGTGTGATGTCTTGTTACACATGTAGTACACGATGCTGAGCATCATATGATCACAACTGAGCCATGGAGCTTTCTCTCTTTGTCCCTCTGTCTGTCTCTCTCTCTCTCTCTCTCTCTCTCTCTCTCTCTCTGTCTGTCTGTCTCGTGTGTGTCTGTGTATGAATGTAAGTGACCATCTCCCAACAGGAGGGGTTTCGGAGATCTCACCAGCAGAGGAGGAGAAAAACACAGAGGAATCCCTGCTCCCAATGAGATAAAGGAGATGTGTAAAATGTGAGAAATCACACAAGATTTTGCAGAAAGAAATACCGCCTGATAAGGCTGCAGTAGAATCCATTTAACAACAATACAGTGTGGAGCTACCAGGAAATCCTCAAAACCCAGGCAAAAGCAAGTGTCCCTGGAGAGCGTCCTTGTTAAAGCTGCAGGAAGAGAGAAAGATTCCGTGGAGCCCACTGAGAGCAGTGACTCCATCAAGGACAGTGAAAGTCTTCCCACACGGTCACCCTCTGCTCTCTACCTCCCTCACATCAGCCACAAAGGTTTTTGAAGGGAAGCGCAGGTAAATCTGCTTAATTCTCTTTATACGCTGTATTTTCCTTATTATTTCATATTCTACTGTAGCATTGCAGTCAGTTTTATATATGAATATTTTGGGGTCATTGAATGAAGTAACTGTTTCCATTATTTCTCATGGGGAAATTCACTGTGATACACAAGCGCTTTGGATTTCAAGCATGTTCCTGGAAAGAATCGTGCTCACAAACGAGTTTGTGAGCATAAGTGTGTGTGCATATGTATCACAAGGAGACTGCAAACCTTGTCATTGCTTTTAATTAAAAACCCATAAGTGCAATCCAACTGCTATGGTCCAATTACTACGACCCAAGTGGAAAACATGAGCTCTGTTTGCACTTACCAGAAATTAACAAAAGAGCGTCTCCAGAAGAGATCGCACAGCACCCACTACGCTCCTGCTTTCTAAAGACAGAGCAGATGACCAGAGGCGGCTTCCCACACCAACACAGACCACACACACAGCTGGGGGCAGGGCGGCACCACTTTTATTTCCCGCCCTTGGAATCATTTATTCCACCCAACAAATACTATCCATCTCATTAGTATGGCTAGGTGTCAAAACAAAAGTACGGCTTCCCTGGACCTTTCATTTCACTTAACCCACTCAGGGCAGACCAGGACCCACACAACCTATCAGGCTGTCTCAGATCAAGTTTCAGAGAGCCTGGGCCAGACAGGGCCAGTGGCGCACACCTGTCATCCCAGCACTGAGGAGGCTGAGGCAGGAGGAGCATTACAAGTCTGAGGCCAGCCTGGGTTATCACCCTAGGGAGCTCAAAAGCAACCTGAACCACAAGAAGGTGGGCAGGGAGCAACAGAAGGGAAGAGGAAGAGGAAGAGAAAGAAGGAATGGAGAAGGAGGAAAAGGAGAGACAGAGAAAGGGGAGGAGGAGGAAGAGCTGTGCTATTAGTGGTGGCAGTAGTAGTTTGGTTCAGGCTAGGGATTAGCAGTTGGCAAACTCCATGAAGAACCAAAGTATATATATATACGGAGGGAGGGACAATACTGGGGTGGAACCCAGGGCCTCTGCAGGGAGCTAGAGTCCCAGGCCCCTCTTTGAGACAGAATCTTGATAGACTGCCCAAGTTGGGTTCAAACTTGAGGCAATCCTCCTGCCTCAGCTGCTCAGAGTGCTGGGACTGCAGGCATGAGCCACCATGCCCAGTTTAAAGTGCAACTGTTTGTTTGTTTGTTTGTTGTAACTACTTAATCCTGCCAGGAGGGCATAAAAGCAGCCCTAGCCCTGTTTAAACGGAAGAGTTTGGCCCTGAGCCAATAAAACTTTATTTACAAAACAGGCAGCATGGTTTGGCCAGAGGCTGTTGTTTGCCCGCCAGCCTCTCAGAGCACCCTGGCCCCAGATGCCCCACAACCAAGAATCGGCCAACCCCTGAAAGTCGCCAAGGACTTTTTAGAACCAAATAGAACTGGAAGCCAAGGACGGGGTGGGGTGAACCAGGGACCCCAAGGGGTTCACCCCATGATCTCTGTGACTGAGGAGGAAAGGAGAGAAGCACAGGTTAGAGTGACCTAGGCCAGGCCAAGCCAACTGGCTGGATGCCCGTCCCCAAGGCTCTGCGTAGATCCCACTCGGACTTCAGGGCTGCCTGGCTGTGCCAGGCCAGAGGGAAGTAGAGAAACAGAGACATTGCCCAGTACAGCACAGCGAAGAAGCCACCACAGGAGAGATCAAGCTCTGCCCCCCAACACCGCCTCCAAGAAAGAATCCACGCATCCTTTACAAGAGAACTGATTTCCTCCCTACAGTCAAAGCACCAGGCTGGGGAATGTTACAGATGAATGATCTGGAGAGTTCCTTGCTCCTTTTGGGGCCTCCTGGAGGCATCATCTCTCGATTATTCGACAGGGATTTTGTTAACCATTACCCCAGATGGGGGGGCTTTGATCAAAAGGCAGGCCACAGCCAATCAGCTCCATAACTGTCCACTCCCCTCACCTGCAAAAACGGACAGCTCCTATCTCCAGCAGGTGTGGCAAGGATTTACTGAGATTACAGAAGAAAGCACGGAGATTTTTCCAGAGAATCGGGAGCTCACAATGATACCACTATCACCTGTCCATTCAGAAGCAGATATTTACTAAGCAACTACTATGTGCTGGGCACTACTCTGAAACAATTAATAAACAGAATCCCCTGCCCTTGTAGAAACTGTAAATGCATAAAGAAATGGGAAATTTGTTTGGCCTCAAACTTGCGGGGATCCTGCCTCGGCCTCTCGTGTGCTTTGATCATAGGCCTCTGCCACCATGCCTGGCACACTCACATGGACAGCACACAGTCAGAGACAAGGGCTAGAGACTCATTCATCTCTTAGCAAAGACCCAAACCAAGTATCACTCTACACGAGGGCCTCGGGTACCTGGGGCCATTGCACAGGTGGCAGAGTCAGCCCTGCAAACGCAATGGGTCAACTCCAAAGCCTCCAAAGTCTCTGGCCCAGTCAGCAAATGTAGAAGCCTCTGTTCCTTCCCTGTGCAGCCCTTCCTCATCAACAGGCATCTCCTTTCACAGACAAATCTAAAGCCGTCACTCAATGGGCACCTTTCAAGCTGGGATTCAGACCCCAGTGCAGTGCAAGAGCTCACACTATATTCCCTTGAATGCAACCTCGGTGTTTGGCCCACCACGCCAAAGCCGGCCACCGAGCCGAGGAGGACACGGGAGGGCTGGGTAGGGTTTGCCTGTCCCCACAATGGGACACCTAGGAGCCAGAAAGAGATCAGAGAGCAAGCCTGTCCTCAAGGTCAAAGACCTGGTCAGGAAGGACCGAGCTGAGGGTGGTCTGCAGTCTGCAGCCTCAGACAGGACCATTCTAAGAGAGATTCAAGGTCCCCCTCCAGCACAAGTAAGTGACGGTCCTGTCTGTACAGGCCTCACCTCAGTCTACCCCTCTGTGAAAGGGGTGCCATGAGTGTGCGCCTCCACCTGTCACAGGGAGGATGGGAGGCGACCAGGACAAGTTCAGCTGCCTCTGGTGAGTCTCACTCTAAAGGTCCCTCTGGAAAACCGCACGACCGCTACTGCAGTCGCTGCCGCCGCCAACCGGCTCGGAGGAGCCGGCCTCTGTCCATCTGGAAGCGGAACAAACTCCGGCCATCTGGAGACAGAGGCGTGAAGGCTGGGGACACAGCGCTACATCCGAGGGATGGGGATTTCTACGTCTCCCTCTCTGCACAACCGTCACCCTGGCAGCCAGAGGACTGGGCTTTGGCTCCAAACCCCACGAGCCAAGACGCTTGGCTGTCCGAAGCCATCCCGACCCAGCGACCCCACTTTTCAGGGACGACCCAGAAGAGGACGTGTGTCGATCCATCTTCGGTGCGGGCTGGGCTCCCCGAGGGGCCCAGTCAGGGCTCGGCGGCGCGTTCCGAAGAGGCGCCGGCGGCCGGGCGCGAACTGGGGCAAAGTTCCTCGGCCTGGGTCGGGCACGCGGGGCGCAGAGCCGCGAGCCTGGCGGGCAAAGGCCAAGGTCAGCGGCTTCCCGCCCGGCCGCGGGGCCCAGGCCACCGTCCCGGCCACGGCCCCTCTCCCCTGGGGAGGGATCTGGGCTGTATTTTGGCCAGGGCGGGGTAGCGGGTTCCCTTCCCACCGCCCGCTCCCACTCCCCAAAACTCACCCTCTCCAGGGTACAGGTGGCCCGTGACGCCCACCAGCAGCGCGGCCACCGCCACCAGCAGCAGCGGCGCGCCCGGCGCCTCCCGCGCGCCCCCGGCGCCCATGGCTCCCAGAGCGCGGGGTCCCCGCAGATCAGAGCGCGCGGCGCCGGCCCGCGGGGAACATCATCTGAGGTGGCCGCCCGGGAGGCTCCGGGGCTGCGCGTCCTTCTTTCCGTCCCACGCCGGGCCGCAGCGAGCACGGGAGAGGCCTGGGCACCGCCGGGGAGGGCGCGCGGCCTGGATCGCTCCAAACGCGGTGGCGCGGCTCGGCGAGGGCGGCCCAGATCCCTTCCCGGCCACCGCAGCCCGGCCCGGCCCGGCCTGCGACCTCAGGCCCCTAAGCTCCGCGCTGCGCCCCGGGCTCTTGGCGCTCGGGCCCTCGCGCTCCGGGCCGCGATGTGCGGACTCTGGGACCGGGGGGCGCGCGGGCAGACGGACGCGCGGGCGGGCACCTGGGCGGCGGGAGCGAGGGCTGCTCAGGCCCGTAAACAACGCGGCCGTCAGCTGGGCCCCGTGCGGGCCGCGCGAAAAGGCGGCGCGGACTCCAGCCGGGAAGGGACCGCGCGCCGGGAGAGGCCCCGGGGAGGGGTGGACGCGGCGAGGGGAGCGCGGGAGGGGCGTGGTCCTATTGGCTCCGCCCCCGCCTCCCCGCGCTGGGCCCCGCGCCCCAAGCTCTGAGCTCACCCAGCCCAAAGGGGCACCCGGGTTTCCCTCCCTGCGCCAGCGCCCCGAACAGAACCGGTCTGCAAATCTCAGATCCTAGGAGTGCTCCGGATACTCGACCTAGAGACACGGATCCTATCTTTCTTTTGCCATTTTATTAATTTTTTTCTGACTCGAAGTTTATTTTGCTATGCTTCGTTTTGTTTTGTTTTTAGTTGTTTCAAGAAAAAATAAACTGTTATGACAAAATAACAGAAGAGTCACAGGATACTGTGTATCATTGTCTTCAAAAGTTGTTACCCAGAGACAAAAAGATTCAGCCTGGATTCACTGTAATTGTTTTAAATGTGCATGTAAACAGTGTTTCTCTTAGTGACAAGGAGGGGGGAGGGGCGCGCTTAAATTCTGCAGCTCTAGCCAGTCGCCTTCGCCTCCATTCACCCCAGTCCCGCCCCGCTTGCCCCGCCTGCGACTTGGGTCCTGCAGTGACCAAGCAGGCGCCTCCTCCCCGCGTGCGCCCCCGCCTAGCGGGCCACGGCGACCGCCACGTGTCCACAGCCCCGTGCGCTCCCACTGCGTCGCGGCCAGGGCCCCTGGAGCGGGGTCAGACCGCGGTTGAAACTGAAGCAGTGACACCCGCAGATTATACAGACGTTCCTGAAAAGCAAACGGGGGCCCGGGAGGCCTCGCAAGGAACGCAGGTGGACGCATTCGAATTCCAACGCGCGAACCCAGAGCGCGGAGGTCTGAGGGTCAGGCAGCATCGGTCAGGCCTGGGGCCCCGCGGTGGCCAACGTGCGCCCTGCAGGGGAGGGGCCTGAGTGTTCACAAAGCCAGCGCTGGGTGTGAGTGCGGCTCTGGACCACACACACACACACACACACACTTCCTGTGTAGTCGAGGATCGGGTACTTGGTGTCCGCCTCACCTCTGTACTGGGTTCACCCATTTCGCACGCAGGACCGGGGCGGTGCGTGGGAAATAAAACTTAATGAAAGCGCCCAGCACCATCCCAGACCCCAGCCATACACTCCTCTTTTTTAAACAAATACCAGTTTGTCAGGAGCAAGACCCACACTGCTCCAACAAAAGAGCCTTTCCGCGGGTGGGGACCACGATGTCCACGCGGCCTGGCTTCCCTCGCCGCTCCTGGGAGCCTCCTGCCTCAACTGACAAATCTTCCTCTTCCTTCCCGTTCTTCCCGCCTCCCCTGTCTCTGGAGAACGCTTATCTCTGCCCGAAATTCCTATTTATTATTTTAGGGCTGTCCTGCCCTCCCGCCCCACCAAGGTAGGAATCTCGTCCGTCTTGTTCAGTACCTTACCCCCCCCCCCGCATGTCCCTGGTGCCTGACATTTCGGTTGGTGACTAAATATTTGTTGAAGGGAAGAAACCCGAGCAGTAAGAAGGGATCCGCAGAGAGAGAAAGTCACAGCGCACGTCCTTGTAAAAGCTCACTGCGGGGTAGGGGGGGCGCACCGGGGTGCGCATGGTGAAGGGAGGTGGGTGGACGCACAAGAGAGGTGTTGGGGACCTAATTCTGAGACGAGGTTTGAAAGGGAGGGGGACCACCCCAGCTCCAAATAGAGGAAACAGCTTTGCAAAGGCCCAGGGGAACTGAAGGGTATTTTATTTTTTATTTTTATTAGCGCAGGTTTGCAGGGCCTGATAAGGACATTCCTCGCCAACAGCTGGTACATGTCCAAGGCCAGCTCCAGTCCTTCTGAGCCCTCTTCTCCTCGCCCTCCTCCTCCTCTCCCCATCTCTTCCTCTATTTCCCTTCCTGCAAAAGAGCCATGTCTTTGCTTCCTGTTACCCACCCCTCCTGGTGTTTTGCTCTTTATTTAGATTTGGGGTTTCTCCTGGGAGAGAACGGGAGCACTCCTGAAGCTTGTGTGTCCGACTGATCTCATATTATGGTCTCCGGGTGCTTCGTCTGTTTGCCTTGTTCAGAGGATTCCAGGCGCCTGCGCCCTGAGGTCTGAAAAGTGAAATTCTATTGAAATGATTGAACGGAAATCGAAAGCCGCTGTCTTAGGGCTGGCGGTGTAACTGACCCGGCAAAAGCTGTCCAGGAGGAGCAACGGGGTATTTATCGAGGCCTGCCCATCCCTTGCCAGATACAGTCAGGCGTGGATTCTGCGGCTTAGTCACCGTCACCGTACAAACATCCCGAGGCACAATGACGCAGACCGGCTACACGTCCAGGCAGCGCACCACTCAGCTGCGCACTGCAGACCACGACACCAAGGGGTAAGATGTGCGTTTGGGAATATGCAGCCAGGCTTCGAGGTGCACACCTGTACTCCCAGCCTACTTGGAAGCTGACCAGGAAGGTCCCGGTTCAAGCCCAACCTAGGCAATTAAGGAAGACCTAGTCTCCAAATACAATTTTTAAAAAGGGTTGGGGGTGTGGCTCAGTGGTAGAGTGCTTGCCTAGCATGCATGAGCTTCTAGGTTTGCTCCCCAATACCACGTAAATAAATACTATGCAAAAGCTTAAAATAAAGCTATCAAAACATTTAAAAGCCACCGTAAAAGTACTAGAGGATCAGAGTTTTCTAGCTCCTTTATGATCCCATGGGACACTTGTTGTATGTGCAGTCTGTTCCAGATAGAAATTTTGTTGTGAGGGGTATAAATGTATCATTTACATATGTATTTTTGGTTCTTTGAGACAGGGTCTCTGTATAGCCCAGCTGGCCTCAAATCATGGCATCCTTCTGCCTCAGCCTCCGGAGTGCTGGGATTACAGGCATGTGCCACCATGCCCCGAATATTTGTCAGTTTAGAAAAGATAAAGAAAAACAACAGCTTCAGGGTAAAGATCACCAGACCCTCCCTCAAGGACGGTCCTGAATTTTCTTTAGTAAGAAAGACATCACCGGGATAATGAAATAACCCTTTCTTCGAAGGTCTGTCGTTTAAAACATAGTATTGTGGCAACATCCATTTTTGGTAAATGATTTAAAGAGCACAATGAAAGAGAGAGGCTAGGAAACGGCGAGGGAGGCTTTGTGGAGATGAGAAGCCCATTTGGAGGCAGAGAGGGAGAGACAGGAAGGGAAGGAAAGGTAAATGCTAGAGATGAGATATATACACGGATGCAGCACTTTCCCCAGAAGAATGCAGTCCGCATGTGTCAGGAACGTGTACCAACAAAACAGGTGCGCAGTCACCACTGGTGTTTATTGTATCAAAAAATATTAACTCAGTCACTGTAAGAGAAACATCTCTAGATTTAGGAAATAAATTCTAAAGTGGTGCAGAGGTAAAGCGGTGGAGATATCTGCATCTTATTCTCAAATGGTTAAAGAAAGAAAAGAAAAGAAAGGAAAAGAAAATAGGGAGAAGACAGAAAGAGAGAACACAGCCCACCAGGCTACGGTGAGTCAGAGCTGAAGAATGTGGCAAGACGTATTCCAATCTGCCGTACCCTTGCTGCCTCTCCTGACATCTGTATCACACCGACGCTGGTGGCAAGCGATAGGGCTTTGTTTCTTATCTTTTCTTTCTTTTTTTTTTTTTTTTTTTTTTTTTGAATTGTTTTAAAATTTTATTTAAAAAGAAAAAGAGAAAAAACAAAACAAAACAAAGCGGTGTAAGGGTACAAGTAATACAGAACTACAAAAAAAAAAAAACAAAACAGTAAGAAATCACCAGTTAATAGATTATATATTATCTTAGAGAGAGTTGCTCAAGTCACAGTATCAAAGCATACAAAGTGAACGTTCAAACAGAGAGACTGCAAACAGTTGTGTTCAATGATCCAACCAAAAACATTAATATGGTCAGCTATTTAACACCCCTAAACACACTTGCAGTTGTATCCTTTAGAGCACTTTTTTCCCTCTCTTTTTTACCACAAAATTTACACATTTTGGGTTTTATTACTCCTTAGTTCTTATTACTTTTTTTTTTTTTGGAAGAAAATAAAGTCAAATATGGCAAAACAAAGCTGTCAGTCAAAACCAAGGATAGACATAGCACATGATGTAAAAACAGAGTACAAGGTTATCAACAATGGTTACCATAATGCCTCTTGCTTCCTTAAAAAGAATTGTCTATCTCATTAGGTATTATAAAGTTGAACAAAGCAGTAGAGAACAAGACCAATAAAACCTAAACCTTGTAAACATTACAGGACTTCCAAAGGACATAATAGTCAAACCAGAATGGGCATCTTAGTGAATCTTATTGCCTTCTAAGTAGTTGCCTATACCCTCAAACTTGATACTATCATTCAGAACGGAACACAGTCTAGTCAGTCAAAACAAGATCGTGGGAGTATTACAGGACTTCAAAACAAGTTAATAGGAAATCAAAAAAAGTTACTATAATATATCCTGCCAATTTTTTTAATTTTTCCCCTTAATTAAAAAAACCATAAAAAATAACTAAATAATTTTTTTAATGAATAAGGGAGAGATTGAGATAAAAGAGGACATAACAACATAACAATACAGGTCAAAGCATAATTGTTTCAGCAACCTAGTGCTTCACCACCAAATAACCCGACTTAATAGTGGTTACCATAGTGTCTGTCTTTTTCCTTGAAATATTTGAATAAAACTTCATATACTATAGCTTCAAGTATTTCCATATCAAGAAGCCCAGAATAAAGCCTTTCCAATTAGCGATGGGGCTTTCTGCTTCCCTCCGTTTGCAGAGAACCAGCTCTGACCCTGAAGCGCTTTGCACTTGGATGCTGTGCACTTCTCTCTGTTTTCCTCTCCTTTCTTCTCAGCCACTCCGCTGTGATTTGCCCCGGAAAGTTAGTGTGGTAACACACTGCTTTCTCTCTCCTCCCCGAGGGCTGTGGGCTTCCTCCTTCCCTTTCTGAAGCTGTGACATGTATAAAGGGAGGGCGCGGAGCTGGTACAGAAAACCAGTATTTTATGCTTCCCCGGGAATACGCAGAAACATTTCCATGGAGCTCAACTGTTTGTTTATTTACTAACTTATTCATCCGTTCATTTGTTTTTTCAGACAGGATTTCACTGAGTTGTTCAGAATGGCCTTAAATTCCCGGCTGGAGCGATCCTCCTGCCTCTGCCTCCTGGGAGTAGCTGGGATTACAGACACCATCTACCACTGACTTCTTTTATTCTTAGAAATCTCCATTCTGACTTTGTTGGAATCTTTGGGTGTTTGTTTTTCCTTTGAATATTTTTGTTGATTTTTTCAGGGGAGGGTGGCAAGATACAGCTCATAAAGAAACTTTCTCTCCCTTTTTTCAGTGCCAGAATTTTATGCCTGCTAAGTAACCGCTCTAACACCGACCTTTGCCTCCACCCTGAATTTACCATTTTATATTGAATTAGTCATCCTAGCCTGCACACGCACCTGTAATCCCAGCACTCGAGAGGCTGAAGCAGGAGAATTGCAAAGAGTTCAAATTCAAGCTCAACTTGGGTTACATAGTGAAAAAAAAGTTACCCACACTCCATCTCCAATACCTTTGATCTTTCCAAATCCAAACCTGTGCCCATCATGCAGTCCACCTTTTTCTGTCCAAGCCCCCGGTACCCACAAATTCATTTTCTATCTGTATGGATTTTGCCCTTTCTGGGTATTTCCTGTAAATGAAAGCTTGTAATAAGTGATCCTCTTGTGACCACCTACTTTGACATGGGATAATGGTTTTGAAGTTTATTGTTGTCACAGCATGAACCAGAGTTTCTTATTTCACGTGATTGCATTAGATTCCATTATCTTTGGATTTTTGCACCATAAGACCCTGTCTACATTCCTATCTTGAACGTAGACCTGAATCTAGGCTTTTTCAAGCTGCAGTGTGTAACCCACAGGAATTTTCTGAGCGCTCTTGGGGCGGGAGCTGGGGACGGAACCCAGAGCCTTGGCAAATGCCAGGCCAGTGCTCCCCCAGGACCCATGGCCTGGCCCCAACACTCCCCACTTGAGAGTCCCAGCAGGCTTAAACATGAATGCAATTCAATCAGTACAACCTCTCAATGGCCAACACTTTCTACAAAAAGTGTTTTTATCTGAATCGGGCACAGATACAAAGGGACAGCCAGCTTATCCACGGGTCCATCTGTGCAATGTCTTCAGCTCCTTCCTGTATTTCTCTTCCCAGACACTGAAAGAGAAGGTTCCTCATCAAGAAAAAGGAAGCTGGAACCCACCTGAAACATGTTTATTTCTCAAAGGTGTTTCTTTTCAGACTTGCAGATGTACAAGGCTCTTTCCCAATGGCTGAGAGAGACAGTTACCCCAGTGCAGATAGAAAGTCCCTCACCTCCTCTTTCTCTCTCTTCTCTTCCTCCTCTCTTTCTCCTCTTCCTCCTCTGTCTTCTTTCTGCTTTTGGAGGGAGGCAGAAGACTGGAGATTGAATCCAGAACCTCTGTACTCAGCTATATCCTAAACTCTCTTCCTATCTTTTAGTTTGAGACAAGGTCTCACTCAGAGTTGCAGAACTGCCCAGACAGGATTTGAATTTACAATCCTCCTGCCTCAGCCTCCCAGAGAGCTAACAGCCCGAACTACCATAGCTAGTTTGCTTGCTTCTTTTTCTTCTTTCTCTCTTTCTCTCTCCCTGTAATGGTTGATACCTTGTGTCAACTTGAGAAGTTTACAAGTTTAACTAAGTGACTCAGCAGTTCCACATCCTAGGGCACAGAGGACCTGCCCTAGAGTGGCTGTTTGTGCCCTAGCATGTAGTGATGGTTGATTCACTGTGTCAACTTGAGAAGTTAAGAAACTTAACCTAAGCCACTCAGGAGGGAGCCAGGGTCCTCAGTATGTAAACAGCCTCAGCCCGTGCAGGAGGAGGGCTGGGCAATTATGTGAGTGCTGCACCCAGGTAGCCTGCTTACAGTAGAAGAGGAAAAAAGATAATGATAGAGTGAACCTCTACAAACTGTGAGCTAAATAAAGTTTCCTCCTTCATTTGGGTGTTGGATATTTTGTCTCAGCAATGAGAGAAAAGTAGCTACCACATTCCTCCCCTTCTCCTTCCCTTCCCTTTTTCTTATTCTCTATAATTCCTGGGTGATCTACCCAACTGGAAGGCATTCATTCTTAACTGTGTTAAACTGTTATCCGATTGTTAAGTAGTTATTTTTTGGTATATATATATATAATTTTATTTAAAGAGGAAAAAAGCAAAACAGAAAAAAAGGGTAGCAACAATGCAGAATTCCAAAAAGAACCACTAAGAAATCACTAGTTGATATACATACTGTCATCTTAGAAATAGTTGTTCAAGTTGCAAAATTAAAGCGTGCAAAGTGGACATTCAAACACTGAGATTGCAAACAGTTCTGCTCAATGATCTGACAGAACTGTGTTTTCTTCTCTTTCATTCAGAACCATAAAGCAACCTGGACATAGACATGGTGGATCAAGACACTCTAACTGCTCAGTCAGAACCCAGTGACGGAGGGTTGTTGATGGTTGCTGGCACCACAAGCAAACAAAACAAGCCAAATCTTTAAAGAAAATAATTACGAAAAATCCTATAGCTAAATTAAAAGTTTTGTTTCAACAGAAAAACCTGAAAAGTGTGTGATGTCCTACCATGAGTTAAATATACATGCCAAGAGGCTGCGGGGGGGGGGGGGGACTGCTCCACTGTTGGAGGGAGTGTGGACTGGTTCAGCCACTATGGAAATCACTATGGAGATTTCTCAGAAGACTAGGATTGGAAGTTCCATTCAACCCACTTATTCCCCGCCTGGATATTTTCCCAGAAAAACTGAAAAGGTCATGTCACAGTGATATATGTGCTCTTATGTTCATAGCAGCACAATTTGTAATAGCTAAATCTTGGAAACAACCAGGATGCCAATCAACCACAGAGTGGATGAAAAAGATGTATTTTATATTGAAATGGCCTTCATATTGAAATGGAGGCAATTTGAGACTATCCTCATAAGTGAAATAAATAAGAATCATATTTATAAACATCACATTGTGTCTCTAGTGTAAAATTAATAAGAACTTAGGAATATTGAAAACCAACATGTGTAATTGCTATTGTAAAAAAGAGAAGAAAAGAAAGTGCTCTAAACGATGTAACTGCATGTACGCTGAAGTATGTAGGATTGATAACCATACTACTGAGTTTTTGTTGGATCGTTGAACAGAACTGTTTGCAGTCTCACTGAATGCCAACTTTGTGTGCTTTAATTTTGTAACCTGAACAACTGTTTCTAAGATGACAGTATGTAATTTATCAACTAGTGATTCCTTAGTAGTTTTTTTTTTGAAATCTGTATTGTTGCTATCCTTTTTTCTGTTTTGCTTTTTTCTCTTTAAATAAAATTTAAATATATATATATATATATATATATATATATATATATACACACACACACACACATGCCAAGAGATAAGAACTTCCAAAAATAACTACTTAACAATCAGATAATTAGCTGCAATAGAATTGGACCACTTGTGTCTCAAAAGCACAGGGGTGCTGGAACACACTTATGTACACACTCACAGGTATTTCTAGAATCATGGAATCTCTTTTTTTTTTTTTTTTTTTTTTTTTTGTCTTTTTTTATCAGTACCGGGTATCGAACTCATGACCACATACTTACAAGGTAGGTGCTTATGCCACTGAGCTAAATCTCCAGCCTCTGTGGAATCTCTCTTAACCGCCTCATAAGAAACTAACAGACCTTTTATTTTTCCTGTCTGAATTCCTTTAACTGTGTGCCCTAATTTTTAAAATAAACAAATGAGAGCTATTTCTTAGTCACTTCCCCATAGCTGCAAAGAGAGTTTCTCTCTCTTTTTTTAGCATGTGTTTATGACAGTGACAGTTTTCACCCTCACCTTGGAAGCCGGTACCTAGACACACTGCATCTCAGTCAGCTCTGCTCCCCTCTCCCCGCCTGGCCCTTCTGCGTGCTCCAGCCCACACTCCAACGTTGAGGGCCCATGATTCCTGGTCCTGGAGACCCTGTTCCTGGGGGCTGCAGAAGTGGGAGCCGCCTCCGCAGTCTTCTGTGAGATGCTGGAAGCTTGGTGTCCCCGGGCTGGGGTTTCATCCTTTGACTGATCTCACACACAATTTACCCAGCACGCGGAGGAGAGAACTGGGGCACAGCTGGGTAATAGAGCACTTGCCTGGTACGAGCACAATCCGTGATTCCATTAAGAAGAAAAAAGCCAGGGTGGGGGCCGGAAACATGAGAAGTGTCTGGAGGCCAGGACGTAAGATTACCGGTATGGAAGTGCGATAAAGCTAAAGTAAGGGGTAATAGGCAAAGGCTGATGTGGCTGACTGCGGAGCAAAACAGGAGATGGATAGTGGAAGCAGGAGGAGAAGAGGGGAGGGAACGGGGGAAAGAATTCAAGGGAAAAGTGGAAATAAAGCTTTTGCAAGAGGGAAGGAGAGCAGGAGCGGGAAGCAGCAGGGAAGGATGGGAGGGGAAGGGGACCAGAAAAGAATCCGGATCCCAGCACAAGGGAGGCTGAGGCAGGAGGATCACTGTGAGTTGGAGACCAGCCTGGGCTATGAAGTGAGCCCAAGGCCAGCCTGGACTGCACAGTGAGACCCTGTCTCAAAAAGACAAAAAAAAAAAAAAAAGAATCGAGACATGTACCGACTCCCCACACTAGGTTCTCTCTGTGTACTGCGAACATGTACCAACAGCAGTAAACTTAGCAAGAAAGAATCATCTACAAAGGAAAATACCCCAATTTGTAATAATGTTTTTACTTTTTTTTTTCCCTATATTTTTGAGTCAGGGTCTCGCTGTGCACTTTAGGCTGACCTGAACTCACAAGGATCCTCCTGCCTCAGCCTCTTGAGTCCTGGGATTACAAGTGTTCATCACCACACCCAGCAAGGAAAAAAAATGTTGCTGGGGGTAATAACTCTGTGGCATAGTGTCTGCCTGACAAGCAGTTCTGAGTTTGATTGTCAGTACCAAAAAGTAGGAGAAGAAGGAGGAGGTGGAGCACAGATAACTGACAATTTGAAAATCTCTTAAGTGTTTCATACATGGATTTTAAATATCATTTGCTAGCGTGAAATTTACAGCAAGTTGCGAACTACAGTAACAGAATGCGGTGGCGTCAGTCATCTAAGGAAAGCACCCCAAGATCCTCCTCTGTGGAGAGCGATGCCTACTTCACCAACAAGAAAGGAGCGCAGTGGACCGAGCGGCCACACAGCGGAAAAGCACGGGCTCCAGCAGGACATGGAAGGGGATCTGATCGGAGCTCCGTAAAGGCTGCTTTTGGGTCGATAAGGAGGACAAACCCGGCTGGAAACCAGCAAGGCCATCCAGGAGCCCTCCCTGAAGAAAATAAAACTGCTGTGCCCTGCACGCTCTGTTTTATGTTTAACCAAAGAAATGTCAGCAACAGTAGCTGGTGCAGGTGTCCTGGGTCACCTGCAAAACCTGACAGCCCAGGGAGGAAACCGTCAGAGAGTGAGGCGTCGAGTCTCCCAGTGACCCAACATCCGCCTGGGCACCCGCATGAGGACAGACCACGTGCAGGAACCGGGGCTCATGGTTGGTGCCATGACCTTAGTGGCACCATTGCTCCTGAAGTCCAAAGTGGAGATGCCACGTATCCAGGGAAGGGCGGACGGATGGGTGCGATGCGATCAATCCACGGGGCAAGTGATTATCCAGCCACAAAAATAGGGGCTGGGGATTTAGCTCAGCAGCATAAGCACCTGCCTTGCAAGCAGACGGTCGTGAGTTCGATCCCCGGTACTGATAAAAAGGAAAAAAGACAAGTAAATAAATAACCCGAATTGAGAGGCATAAGGACAAGGCTGGACTCCAAGCTCAGGCCCCCAGCGACAGCACCGGGAAGGAGGCACCGGGGTTGGGGAGGCACTGGGCGGCGCGTTCCGTAGGGACGGAGGTGCAGATCTGAGAGGCAAAAAAATTCCGGAGGTGAACACATGCACACTGCTGGGCTATGCACTTAAAAATGCTTGAAATGGTAAATCTGATGTTGAGACTATTTTATTGGATTTTCAAAAATAAAATAGAGAAAATATTGTATCAAGGAGAAAAAAAGGAGGAGGAGGGGGAGGAGGAGAGCAGGTGTGGTGGTTCATGCCTGTAATCCCAGCATGTGGGAGGCTGAGGCAGGAGGATCCTTGCGAGTTGGAGACCAACCTGGGCTACAAAGTGAGTTGCATAGTGAGACCCTGTCTCAAAAAGACACCAAAAGAAGAAGGGGAGGAGGAAGAGGAATTTTAAAAAGAAGCACCTGTGATTCCTGCACTCTGGAAGTTTGCCTCTTACCTGGACAATTTAGCAATTTGACCAAACCCTATCTCAAAATCCAAAAAAAAGTATTTTTAAGGGCTGGGTGTGTGGTTCAGTGCAGAGGCCCTGTGTTCAATCCCTAGTACCATGGACAGAAAGGAGGGAAGAGGGAGAGAGAGAGAGACAGGCAGGCAGACAGAGAGAGAGAGAGAGAGAGAGAGAGAGAGAGAGAGAGGAGGGGAGGCAGGGAGGGGAAGGCTGGCACCCTTATCTCTAGGTGCAGCGCTGGACCCCGCCCCGTGTCACTCTGGGAACACAGACCCAGGGCCCAGGAAGGACCTCGGTGGCCTGGGTCGGGAGTGGTGAGATGAACCAGGGCAGAGCAGGGAGCCGAGCTGTAGGCGGGAAAGGGTTGCGTGCAGGGCTCGCTCAGGTGGACGCCTGTCACCATGTATCTGCCACAACCATGCCCTGTGCCACACTGAGCCGGAGCTTGAAGTGGACTCGGACCTTAGCTGGTCATCAGGAGTTGATTCTGGTTCATCGGTGGCGACCACTGCACCGCACGAGGTTCCCAGGCAGGACCCCGAGGAGACAGTGGAGGGGCAGAGTGGACTGGGGCTTTCCGGTCAGTTTTTCTCTAAACCTAAAAGTGCTCTAAAAATAAAGTCTGTTCATTAAAAAATAACGAGGGAAGTAAACCAGTGCCTCTCAGCAAACAGCATCATCGAGATGAGATGCATAGGAACAGCAGCAGGGCTGGGGGAACCCCGGGTCCCCAGCTGTGTGAGTTCCAGCCGGGAGCCAGCTCAGGCCTTGGCCTTTGTCCTCCCGCCTGGCCCGGGCAGACAGCGGCTGGACCCAGGCCCTGCCCTGGCTCCAGGATGCCCACCTCGCTCCTGCTGCCGCCTGCTCCAAACTGAAGGTTTATGCTCTCCGGGTCTGGCCCTGGTAGCCGCCCTGAGCATTGATCATTTAGCAAATATTTACCGAGCGCTTATTAGCAGTCAAGTTGCACGTAGTGGGCTTATTGCACCGAATGATCACACAGGTAGTGACTTCAAAGAGGACACCCAGGAGGTGTTGCCGCCTGGCTGGGATCCCAGCACTCGGAAGGCCAGAAGGCTGAGGCAGGAGGATTGCTGGGAGTTTAAGGCTCCTACTGAGTTTCTAATCAGTAAATGGGTTCAGTCAATCAGGTGTCCATCCGGGATGATTCCTTCTGAAGGTTCCAGGGAGCTCCTCGTCCTGCTTCCCCAGCTCCCACAGGCATCTGAATCTCTTGGCCTCATGGATCAATCCTTA